TTATTTTTTTTTTTAAATTGTCAAGTCATGCCTGAGCTCAGTCTGCATCATATTTCTATGCTTTTTTCCCCTCCATACCAGCTTAACCTTACTATCGTCATCAAACAGCTGTCACGGTTTACTTCTTCCTTGGCATTTATTCCACCATACTCTTAGCCTTTGCCTGGGTTTTAAATGTCGGTGAGGGCCTGTCAAAGGTACTATGCAGGGAAGATAAAACATTTTCACGAGGCTACTGGGCAGCAACGGCTTGAACTTGGCAGATAAGTGTGAGCTTTGAATTTATACATTATTCAAAAAACTGACATCTGTGTTCCCAGTGCCAAAGGCTGCACCTCGGGCGAGTTTGAAAAATTATACGTTTGCAAGGTGGCAAAGAGTTATGCGCAGTTAAAAACAGCCCTCATGTTTTACCAATCACCTTAGGTGGGGGACAGGGAGCCAGGCTGTTATTTGTAGCCTTATAAAACCCATTTTAAAAAGTGAGATGACTAATCTTGCCGTAATGACAGCACCACCCCTGGAACTTCAGCTCCCAGACACATCTGTGCTCAATTACTGCAAATAATTCAACCAGCAAACAGCATCTTAATAGGTGGGTGGTGGAGTGATGGCAGAAGGAATGGGGGTAGAGGCCAGGGAGGAGCAGAGATTGAAGAGTGAAGTGGAAAAGATGTAGTTTGCAGAAATGGGAATTTTATTGTATGTGTGAGCATCTCAAATATTTCAACTTTTTTTTTGCTAAAAGAACTTTATTATTCGTCTTGAAGTAGCAATTGTCATTCTTGGAGTGTTGGGTGTCTAAAACTCTTCATGCATGCACGAGTGTGATGGACTGAGAGGACAGCAGAAGTTGACTCTACACGTCTAAGTGACAAAGTCATTTTAGCAAACACTTTTATGTAGTTAACCTGGAGCAATGCATTCAATATGCATACTGCATGCCACTGGTGGGAACCAAAAACTATATTAGAAACCACTGAACCTCACATGAAATCAAATGCACTCGGGTTATAAAAATGCTAATATTTATGTGTGTGCCTCAGTCTCTCGGTTTCCTTACAGTGTAAGGAGTGAGGAGTAAAAGTTGATTATGTGTGTACTGGGAAGGATTTTGTGGACTTGTTGGTGTTGTGTGCGGCATTAATCCTTCTGGTTCCTACACACATTGCAACCTGTAATGCCTGTCGGTCTATTTATGTCAATAAGTTTGCAGTTCAGTCACATCTTGATTGACTGAGGTGACTTTCAGCTTTAATTCAAACCATTTTCAAACATAGTCCCACATTTCAGGGACTTTCACACCGACATGATTTTAATTTTTAAGATTTGTTTTTATTACTTGGATGAAAATCCTTTGTAGACAATGACTTGCAGACAGTGAAATTTCGAACCCGTGAACGTCACCGACCACTGCAGCTGACTTCAGCCTTGTAGTCAAAGCTGAAATGCTCGCTCTGTTGGGTGGAGATCGGGTCATCTTGGCCTTTGAAAAATATCCAGCTTTGGTGCATTGAGAAATGTTTGCAGTTTGCTTTGGGTTGTTATCCACTTGCAGTGTAAAGTGCTGTCAGTGTGATCAGTGTTGCAGATTTAGCTTAACCTGAGCAGAAAGTATAGCCCTGCACATTTCACAACTTCTCCAGCTACTTCTATCAGCAGTCACATCATCAATAAACACTCATGACCTGGGTCCACTGGCAGCCATACCTGCCGTAACATTGTCTCTATCATGCTTGACAGATAATGTGGTATGCTTTGGATTATGATTTCTTTCTTTACGTTGTCATACTTTTCTTTTTCTCTCCTTTGCCTTGGTAAGTTTCTCTTGCTTCATCTATCCAAAGAATTCTTTTGATTGTAGATTTTGATAACAATATGCCTACCTCTTTTGTTTTAGTTTTTTTAGCTAAAGGAAGATTTTTTTGTCCCACTTTACTCGTCATCTGTGGTCTTTTAGGTCTATTGGTCCATGAATTTATAGATCCAGAATATAGATTTGGCTGCTGTCCCTCTGATAGCCTAATGATCGCCTCACTCAGTTGCACTGACACCTTATGACCTCATATTGAAAGCTGCAGTGAACAGTTACCAAATGCAAGTTTAGCACTTGGAACCAACCTCAGATATTTTATCTGCACAATTTACCAAGGAATAACTGGGGAACAGGGCTCATCTGTCAGTTAATTGTCCAATTAATTTTGAGCTTCTAAAACTGGAAGACTAAAAATGGCTGTAATTCCTAAACAGTTAAAGCAGTACTTCTGTGAAACCCTTTGATTCATAGCTGAAAATCTGCACTTGAATCGCAGCTTTATTGATTTAAAGTCTACTGTGGTGGTGTGCGGACTCAAGATTACCAAAAGTGTGTTGTATCCAAATACTTATAGTGCAAACTGCATATCATACAAATGAATTGTTCTTTGTATTCATTGATCCTTTTACATGTTATTCATCAAGTTAAAACCGGTGGTTGCTTGTTCTTCTCCTAGATCCCTCTCCCCACCAGAGGCAGAAGCCCCCGGCTACCGAACTCTGTTACAAGACTGAAATCAGCAGTCTCATGGACTTCAATTCTCCAGATGCCTCTCTGGACAAAGGTAAGACTCTAATCAGGTGAAATATGTTTCATTTCCTGCGCTTGCTTTGCTGTTTAAGCTTTGGTGGATGTGAAAGTTCATATAGATTCGCCCAAATACACATATGCAAATATAGTGTATGCACACACACGTGCAGCTGGAAATGCATTAAATCCACAAACATGTCAGGTTCAGGGTCTTTAAGATGTGCACGCGAGGATTTGTAATGCAGTAAGCGCATCACTTACTCCCCCGTCTCAGCAGTGTCAGCTTGCATTTGTCAGAAGTGAGAGTGTGTATTACTTAAACCTCTAAGAACTGATTCCATGATGTTGTTTCAAGTGTACTATATTATTTAAGCTCTGTGTGTTTTATTAATAAAAAAGAGATGCTTTTTTAATCATTTAAACAAGGTCAGAAGTTCATAGTAATTATAATATTATGCACTTAGAAGCAATTTAGAAAATGATTGTTTTACTTTTTATTAAACGGTTACCCAACTTCAGCTCATGCTTCACCGTCACCACAGTCTGCCCTGTGTGTTTAGTCACTTGTGTCACCGAGAGCCATCTGGAAAAGCAGCCTATTAACTTTAAAGACTGTATTTATTCCCATGACGCTTATCTGACTGGGTGGTCAGACGGGTCTCACATTAGCGTCAGCCGCTCTCCACACAAACACTTTTAGTAGTTTGTCTGGAGTCCGTCTTCATGTTCCAGCACTTTCATCACTAAAGCTTGGAGTCTTTTATAGAAGATCAAAGATGTTAAGTATGGCGTCAGTCCAGAAGTGTGTCCTGACTAGTGTGTCTTGTAAAGTTGCCAGTTCCAGTATGGATCTTTATTGTCATCCAGGCAGCCGCCCAGGGCCTTTATTCATTAGAGCATCCTACTTAGGGCTTTATTTGGATGCCAGGTCTCTTGTCTCTTCCTAATAGTGTGTGCCAGTGTGGCGATGGTACTGAGTGCACTCACAAATGGTCACACAGTCATTTTTTGCAGTTTCTTGTGCCTGATTACAACTGTAAGGTACTTTTACTTTTGTATTTCTGTCATTCTTCACTGCATTCACCGACAGCTTAATAAATTATTAACACTTCAATACTGTAAACATAAAATACATGATAACATATAAACTCTGCTTTTGAGACTCAAGCGAGCAGATATACAGATTCGGTCATATTTTTAAACCTTTTATATGTGCGTCACTCCTACAGAGCATAAAGCAGCTGGTCCCTTAGTTCTATAGACATTTCCTGGGTGCTGTAAATGTGCAGACTCAGGAAAAAGCATGTAGGCACACCAAACCCCTGCAGTGGCCAAGGCCACGTATATCACCACAAGTTTCATCAGAATGAGAACGGGGATCTAAGAAGCTGTGCTATGAGAGAGAGACAGGGAAGGAGAGGGAGAGACCAATGTAAGCAGTGAGTGCTGGATCATAATGAAGACAGGTGCTGCTTCGGCACATTAAGTGGCACTGATGTCACCAGCCGGGCGAGGCTTGGTATGTGCGCCACATTAGATAGGAAGGTCAATGTGAAGGAGTCAAACAGGGCTTCCAGGGAAAACTGGCTTAAGAGGGAAGGACAGACAGGGAAGGGAGAAGTGGAGGATAAAAGAGTTGAAGAGCACTGCAAGGTGAAGGAGAAAGACTAGGTGAGGGATTACATAAGGAAATGTTATTGCAGGCATATTCTGATTAACACGAGAAAATCAACCAGTGAAGCGGGTGGAGACAGAAAAGAACAAACGATTAATAAAGCACGGGAGAATGTGAAGCTGTGCGTGTGTGTGGGGGGGGTGACTGTGCAGAGTGGTCTCTGCTGAGCACTTCCATTTTTCTCATGTGCTGACACTTTCCAAAACACCTACCCCCATCGAAGCCCTCTTACAGCCAGTGGGAGAGTGGCAGCTAAATTGCCTTCAGCAACAATATCCAGGCCTCTTCATTGTAATTTACACACATCAGAAATAGCTACTCAGAAATGCTTAGACACAATTGTCCAAGAGTAGCTAGGCTTGCCATTTTAATGTGACTCATTTGCATAAGTGCAGTAACTGGACGGAGCAATATTATTATGTTACATGCTGTATGCCATGATCACAAGGTCGTGGCCAGCTTTTACATAATCCGGCTAATATGACCAAAGAAAGGAAGGGAAATGGTAATTTAGACTTATTACTCTGGACATAATGATTATATCCCTGTAATGGAGTTTTGAGCCGTCGATCCACAGAAATGTGATCTTATGAATCCTAAGAAAATTGTGCCACAGTTTGCACAGACAACGATCTTATCTGTGTGCTTGTGTGTCCTCTGGCCTTCCTGTTAAAAGCTACAGAGAGGTTAAAGCTGATGGAGGGAGCAGAGCAGCAGTGAGACTGTCTTCGGTCTTTGTCGCTTTCTAACGGCTTCATTAAAGGAGGCTTCTGAAAAGTAGAACTCAAAGGTCATGAAGTCTAAAAGCTGGATTTCAAAGGGTCTAGATCATACTTGTCTGCTGTGAAGGGCTTTATTTAAGCAGTCTTCAAAGGAAATACTGTTACAGGAAAAAAAAAACCCCAAATATGCATATCAGTACATGTTGGTGTATGCCTACGTGTGTGCGCCAATGTGTGTGCATGGCTGGCTTGCTTTAACAAACAGTTTAAGAAGAAAATTCAGTAAAACACAAGCTTATATTAGACCATTTACCAATAAAAATCCTGTTTTGTTCTTCTTTCTACATCCCATGAAATCCAGTCAGAGGCAGGCTGTATTTGTATAACCTGTTGTCATATTTAAATGACTGAACTGTCATCACAAAACAACATAAATTTAGTTGTAAAGCTGTGATGTTTAGTTGTTGCTAGTTCTGTTCAGTTCAGACTGAACCCTAGTACCAGAAATCCAGGTTAGCCAATTAAGGCTTATCTCATTGAGTGTAGTTTCTCGGTCTGAATAATGAAGTTCTTATCAATGACCAGCAGGGAGCGACTCCTCTTACTGCATCCATAGAGAATAGGAATGAGGGGCATAGCTTCAATGTTGATGCTTAAGCTGCCACCATGTAAGAAGTTATCTTAAATATATTCAAGTTGTCAGGTGAGGCCAGCAAGTTTGGTTAGCAGTTGCAGTCATAAACTGAATGGGCGCAACACACAACACATATGTTGGTTACTTAGTGCCGAGCAACGGACTGAGTTACTAAACAACTAAACAAATCTGAAGCACAGACTTCTGGGTGGTCTTTACCACTCAACAAGCCATAATATTATAGATAATCCATTAAGAGGTTAAAAAAGGGATCCAACAGGAACGTTTGTGTTGGTGTTAAGTTTCCCCTCCGCCACCCTTCCCTCTAGTCACATTTGCTTTTAGAATCCAAGATGAAAATCTGTGACCAAAGACTTTATAGCAGGGCTTTTGTTGGTTACAGTACAGCCATCTGTTTTACTGTCTGAGTAATGTAATAGCTAAGACCTTTCTCAAAACATTTTTAAGATGGGTATAAAGAGTTCTTAAGAAAAGTGTTCAAGGAGTGTAAATTAAAACCAATTGAGTTAGCTGTGGCGCTACAAAGATTTTGATTTCTGCTCTTGCCAAATAATCAGACCGTTTGTTAGTTTAATGCAAAGTATAAGAGCCACAGACAGCTTTTTAATGAGTTTCCAGTTCACACTTCAAAACTTTTTTTTGCTATGACACTAACGAATATTGTGTTTTGATTGATAAGGAAATATGAATTCATTTTAAAATGTGTCAAAAACATAACATGTAGATTGATGAATGGACTGATTCTTGTGTAGCACCTTTCTGCTCTACCTGAGCAGTCAAAGAGCTTTATACAAACTGCCTGAGTCACCGACACACGTACTTTTTTCCCTACACCTTAGTGCTTTCTCTCTAACATTCATACTCAATGTATCAGAGAGCAGGTTGGTTCAGTATCTTGCCCAAGGATACTTAGGTGTGTAGACTGAAGACTAGAGATTGAACCACCAAACTTCTGATTAGTAGATGACCTGGCTAGATGACTCCTGAGCTACAAACAAACCCAAATAGAAAGAAACTTAGTTTGCAGGTTGTCTGTCATCACCTTGAGAAACACCCAGGTGTGCTGTGCCATCTACTCAAACCTCCAATGACCGAATTAAATGCATGTTTTAAAAATTTCATTCCAGAATTTAAACGCTCTGTGCTCTTAATCAGATTATATATTGTCTGACTCCTTCTGAGATTTTTCTCTGTTTGTTTTGCAGTCTTAAAATCCACACCTACACGTCATTAGGATTTGGATTTACACCTTAGCCTAGCACTGTGCCAAGGTGATACTAAATGTGTGTGTGTTTTTGTTTAATTTCTAAATTGTACCTTGGATCATGTTTGAACAGCCAGCTGGCCACCTTCAGTTTGTCCTTCAAAACGTAGAAGAAAACAACATAATGAAGAAATAACCCTCTTCTGTTCATCAGCTTTCATATTAATTTCTCAACAATTAGAAACCATATTCTTTTAAGCTCCTGAAATCAAAGCTGATAGTCATCACTTCATCCTATATCTGCAACACGAACTTGGTTTGGTCCCTCTACTTAAAATAACA